GATGCCGTGTTTTCAGTTTTGGAGTCCCCAAATAAAGTGGCAGCCCTGCCAATGTATTTGCTCCCTATCTTTGCACGGAGAGTTTGTTTTGATGTAGAGGTGGACTCTCAGGGTAGGGTGGGATATCCCCTCCATTTTAGCCTCACTTTGAGAGCTTTTTTTGAGCTTGGGGGATGATTTCAGAGAAAACCACTGGCACTATCGTGTTTCTCGCGAACTTTTACATAAGGATCACTGGTCAAATTGCGAATCCCTCACAAAATGTGGGTTGGTACTTTTCTGATGAACTCGGTTCAGTTGTCACTACTAATTTCGGCAAAATATAGGCAATGAGTCTGTTTGGAACAAATATACAGTCAAGTGAATAGACGTTCTCATTCTGCACAATCATGACATCATGACACATCACTGCACATCATGACAGTCCGAAATGCCCTCCTTTCCGCCATATACGTGTATGGTACACTGGAAAAAAAAAAAAAAACACATTGGATCTAGATTCCAGACTCTTAAAAACATCGACAAGAAAAAGTACTCCTGATTCCATCAAAATCTAGCTTAAATCAAGAACCATGCCTCTTAATTTAAGCGGATTTCGTTTTGATTCAAGCAAAAATCCGATTGAATCAAGAGTATTTTTCCTTGTTAATGTTTTCAAGAGTCTGAACTCTAGATCCAATGTGTTTTTTTTTTTCTTTTTCTAGTGTATATAACGCGCTTTTTCAATAGGCCTGTTAAGAACTTTGCTGGAGCAAAAAAAAATAGTTATATTTTTGGGAAACGCGAAAAAATCACGATGAGTCGGAAAAGTTTCAAATACACTCCTAACTTCACAATCTGCACGAGAAATGTGCATTTTTTGAAACTTCCGCTGCAAAAACGATACTGCGGCACAGGTGAACATTTCGTAACAGAGGTCGTTCCAACCAAAATTTGCACACAAGGATGCTGCACAATATTCAACATGGCTCACGCTTCCGGGCGCGAATCGTGAGGAAGCAGTTTTTGTGAACGCAAAATAAATGTAAATATGAACACAAAACTTGATATGGATAACATTTTGCAATAAGGAACCACTATTTCTGGCCCATTTTAGAAACGACATACATGCCATTGGGTTCCCTATGCAGATATGTGCTTTTATGAAAGAGCCAGTGATAGTGGTTCCTTATTGCAAAATGAAATCCATATCATCCCGTCTCGTCACGTGTGTTTTGGCGGGTAGGCGTCGGCCATGTTGATTATTTCGTAGCATCCTAGCGCGTAAGGGTTGGATGGAACGTTTCTTCTTACGAAGTGTTCACCTGTAATCAGGAAGCTTAAAACAACGCGTATTTCTCGAGCAGATTGTAAAGTTAGGAAAGCATTTGAGACTTTCCCGATGCGCTGATCGTGTTTTTGAGCCATTTTTCTCAAAGAGAGAACTTTTCTCTTTGCTCTGGCTGAAGTTTGCAACAGGTCCATTATACTGCATCTGTGGGCAGTTTTTCTTGATGACCGACAGGTAGGTTTGCCCAGAGAGACTCGAGAAAACTTGCCTTTAACAGGCAACTGATCAAATATTACTGGAAGGTATCGCCTCCTCTTCGTCATCCACTGCGGTGGTACTTACCACGGTTTCTTACAACTTGGTTTCGTAGGGTTCTCAAAATTCTCTTATGTTTAAGTTAAGTGCCTCCTTGTGCTCTTAGGAGGCAATCAGGGGTACCCAGGACTTCGGCCGGTTATGGCTGTCCGCAGTTTCAAGTTAAACGAACAGACATTTATACTTTGAAGTAAATCGGCATTATTTTTTCCTCCTCAATTTCTAGGGGCAGTGCATTAATCAGCTGAAATGTAAAGTCCTGTCCGATAACTTAAAGTTAAGCTTTTCAAAAATGTAATTTCATCTAAAAGAATTTTTGTACAAATTGTTTAAAGTACAAAAAAAACCTTGGTTTTATCTGTATTTTAAGCAATTAGTACAGATCTGTGTATCACCAATCGATGAATCAAATGCGGAAGCCATGGTACTTACGTAACATTGCAGAGGATGACATGATGTACTGTTTTTTCGAGGTGCTTTAATAATGGACGTAGAAATTAGGCGTTCTACGTATCTAATGACTTTGTGCAATTCTTCGACGGCATAGATAAAAAATATGTAGGAGGTGTTTGCATATTGGGCACATCGGATTTTTTTAATGACGCCGGTCGGTACGGACGATTTTTATCATCGATTTTCTTCGAAACGGTATAGCTTATGGAAAAAAGTCATTCTATGTAAAGTGTGAATTATATCATGATTGGATTTCAGCAAAAAAAATCGGACGTTTTTGTACTTCGAATTCCAAATTTTGCTGGAATATCAACGCCATCACGGAAAAAATAAATTGCTGAATAAACAATTCATTTGCTAAAAAAAGTGACGGCAATGTTTCAATGTAGATGTTACAGCAAAAAAATGTCATTTTAACCACCCCCGTGGTTAAATTAGCTTACAATAGTGGTTAAAGTAACTTTTTTTGTTGTAAAATCTACGTTGAAACGTTGCAGCCATTTTTTTAACAATTGATTTGTTAAATCATCAATTTAATTTTTTTCCTGATGTTGAACAGACCTACGTCACGGGGTACACAATCCTCAAGATGCAAAACACCTACTTCTTTTTCTACATGCTTTGACTGCTGGAGTTGACTCATTCGCACCCTGTCGAAGGATCTACTATGAATTATCTTCTTCCATTTCAGGCTCAGACGATCGCCGATGATTTCAAGATACTGAGAGCAAGAGCTCAAGTCATAGAGGGCAAACTGATGAGGGAGACAAAGGATGTGCCAGCTGAATTCCTCATGGATAAAGACTTCGTTACCGTTTGGGACGCCCTTAACGCCGGTTCTATAAAACTCGTGCAGATCGGCCTCGGAATGCTCATCGAGGTCACCAGTAATTTGTTCAAAAAAAGTCTCGAACCAGCGGTAGTCTCCGCCCGTAGGGCAATACTAGCAGACAACTATGCCATGTAAAAGCTTAAACTCCCCTCGTGTGGAAACTCAGATTCACTGAAAAAAAAAGAAGAAAAAAAGATTGGTAGAATTTACCATTCCTTCACGCTGCATTTGACCCAGCGTTAATTCAGAGTCAATTCTGCCAGAGGAAAGGTAAGCTTTACTGTATACTGGTACAGGTAACCATTCCTCTGGCAGAATCGAGGTGAGGATTAGTAGAATTTACCATTTCTTCACGTTGTGTGAAATACAGCGTGAAGGAATGGTAAATTTTACCAATTTTTTTTTTTTTTCAGTGTTATTCACCGAATTTTGTTTGATTTATACTGCCGTGCTGAGCTGGAACGCCGTATAAGCCATCAGACATTGCCAAATTTCCCTCGACCAATTACGAATTTTCAGGAGATTTTTTGATTATTTCTCCGCCGATTTATCAGAATTTCGTTCGTAATTAGATTTAAAAAGTCTGAATATTTCAAGGAAAAATATTCATAACTTTCTTTTTAAAAAAATATATTTTGAGAGGAAATTGGCATCATTCGATTGCACATACGGGGTTTTTACTAAGCACGACAGAACAGAACTCCGACATGCCCTCTTGTATAAAGGGCCGTTCAAGTGTAATTTGGCGGTAGGGAGAGGGTGGGTCTAAGCTTGTCTGACCGAGTTTTAAAGGAAGGAAGAGGGTTGAGGCAATTTTCACACACACCTCTTAAAAAAATAAAAATATTTTGCAATCGTTTCTTCCGGCTATATTTCTGAGTTTCGCCTCTGTCTTCTGAAAAATCAGAGTAAACCAGTCATACAAATTCTGAAGGGATGATGAAAAGTTGCGAGTACCTCACGAATGAAAAAAAAATGCATTACAAGAGGGAGGGGTTCCAGAAGATACGTAGTCAATATACCTTATAAAATACTTGAGCGGCACTTAGTCATGTTGAAAAAATAAGCACAACTTTAGTACTCATTTTAATGAGACTGTACCATCTCTATCCACTCCGTTGGGAGGAAATTAAAGAGCTTATGATCCACTCTTCGAATTGTGTTTACATTTCCAATCATTACCAATCTACCTCCTAAATATTTTTCGCCTTAAAGCTGTTCAAGATATATTTACTGAATAAAGGAAAATTCTTCAATAGTGGTGCACCCGAAATTCTGGATATAGTATTTTTTTCGTTGTACCATCCTTTTTCAATATGTTGCCAGCTTTGGTGGTCTACATTACTTCATCGCGATGCTCAAGAATTGCCGTATACAATATTTCATTGTTTTTTGTTTTTTATCTTTCTTTGTTTCTTCTTGTTCGTACACAAAATCTGGAAACGCAGACGGGGTGGCATTTCATGAAAAATAAAATCTTGAAATTTCAATGAAGTACTTGATGAAATTACAGAAATTTATGAAAGATATTGAAAAATACCGGTTCCTTCTCAGATTTCGCAAAATTTCAAAATTGTGACTTTCTTCTAAGTTTGTGTGTTCGAGTGCAGATTGCATTCTCTAGCCCTTGAAAAATACGAATTGTTTCACAGCCTCGTGAAATTTCATGAAATATTCCCCGGTAAAAATTGGCAGTAGAATCTGTGTTCCAAAATACCATAGACCTACAGCCGGCTGTAAGATTTCCAATAGCTTCTATAGCCGGCAACACAATTTCTTATAGCCGATGGCGATTAAGCAACAGCCTGGCGATAAAGTGTATGCAAAACATTACTAATTACGGATGCTAGGACTTAGTGAGTTTTTGGACTACCGCTCTCTTTTTGGGCCGTAGTATCTTGATTTATTTAGCGAGGAAAGCTCCGTCCTTTTGAAGGATGCCTGCCATTCCTAATATGTTGGAGCGCCTTCCTTTTCGTATGAAACTGTGCAATACCTCTGGTGTGAAATAGTTGCTTCAAGCGCCGTGGTACGCTGCGGCGCGGCGGGCGGGCAGCCAGCGCAAAACGCGCATTGGCGCCTACAAACCTAACAGGGATACTTCACGCATTGCGCAATGCGTGAAGTATCCCCGTTAGGTTTGTAGGCGCCAGTGCGTCACCGTTCCGCTTTGTGTTAGGCTCTAATATTTAAGCTCATGGAGTCAGCGTTTTTCAACTCATGACTTTGAAATGTTTGCACACTCTGTGTGGATTATTCTCATTTTAATTGATGAAAAAAAATAATGTGCGTTTTGTAAATATTAAGGTGATTCCGTACAAACTTAAGGATTTACAAAGCACACGAATTTATACACAATTTCTAATAGCCTTTTATAGCCGATGGCGAAAAAGCAACAGCCAGGCGATAAAGTGTAAAACCCGGCGATAGAAACTATAGCCCGGCTGTATAATTTTTCATCGCTTCGTGTAGCCCGGCCGTAAGATTTTTTCCACTTTCTACAGCCAACTATATGATTTTCTATCGCCTTCTTCAGTCGGCTATAAGAATTCCTACGGTCTTTGAAACGCAGTTCCTATCGCCATTTTTTACCATGGTTTCGCTGAAATTTCCAAGCTTTCATTTCTTTTTCACGTTTCTTGACACCCTGCACGCGGACTACGTAGACCGTTTATCAAACAAGTAACGCTAAAAAGAATTTTGACTCTCTCTTTCCCGTCTAAAATGGACGTGTATCGCAGGTCTATAACTCTCCAAGAGATATCGTAATGCCGACCTTTAACTCCACATTTTTAGAAAAAAGTTGGTGATGTATGAAATAATCCTAAAAATTAAGCGATGGAAAATTCGACATAATGAGGGGACCGTCTCTGGGTTTTGTTCCTGCAGAATTAAATTTAGAAAATACATATCTAAAATGCTACTGAAGTGGGCAAAACAATCGAATCACAATTAGCAAAAAGGAACCAGCGCGATCATAGTGTCGTAAAAATGTTGCTTCTTTATAATTATCTACAAAATCTCTCCAATACGCAAATTGTTTTTGCTCACTCACCAAACAATTGTTAATCTTAAAGGAAAATAATTATTAAATTTTAATTCCGTACATATATTGAGTATTTTTAAAAGGAAAGAAGAAGTTGCACGATTTTGAAAATACCGTATTCGCCCTGTTTCCTTTTTGCTAAATATGATCCGATTAAAGAAAAGTATTGCGTCCGGGGGCGGTGGGGGTTAGATATCATAGAGCGCCAAGGAGCGCTATAAAGCGAATTATCTTACGGGTCGATAAGATTAAAATGGGGGAATAACCGCGAAATTAAAAAGTCGGCAAGAAAGAACATTGTAAGTAACGTCGTTAGGGCTTCCCCGATGAACTATCAGTCGAAGCTTCATAGTTTACCTTATCGCCAAAATAAATAAACCGATAGATGTCGAACGATTAGTGAGAATAATCTTATTATTCGTAGAGAATCAATTGTCCACGTCTCCGGGCGCAAAATGGACCGAGTTTGTTGGACAAGAACCAACCCACATTTTTGTAAAAAATTGATTAAAGAGTGTTTTCGAGTTCTGCTTGCCGTATATTTTCTCCTGCCAAAAACCGAAAGTCGAAAAAACAGAAATTAGTTTGAGAAAAGAGGGGTTGAAATTTATTTTCTACATTGCAGGCACGTAACCAGTATTTATTTTCGAGGGTACCTTTGCTGGGTGAGCAGAGTTCGGAAGGTATCAAATACTTCCCAGTTAAGGGGGTCTGGGGGACCTCCCCCAACAATTTTTGAAATTATAAATCTATTTGGACGCATTATGAGGCTTCCGTGACGCAGATTTTCCATAAACTGCGGAAAAATTACGTTTCTTCTTTCACATTGTTGCATTCAACACATCTGGAAAATTATTGAAATTTTAACTCTATTTGGACAGATTTTTTCAAAGGTCAAACTCCTATTTCCTCGCCTTTCCTTATTTTCTGTCTCTCTTTTTCTTCATTTTTTTCCTGCTTTCTCTGCTTTCGGAGAGGGTTTGAGCCCCCAATCTTCCCCCTGGATACATGCCTGCTACATTGAGCTTAATGCATGAGTAAAATTTCCAACCTCTTTTTCTCAGTTTCAACTTGACGTGAGTTGGTCCCTTTCTGATGAGCTCGGTCCGAATGTTTGTTCGACAATCGCGCTTTGTACAAACGAACGGTTATCGAGTTAAGACTGGCTTGACCTTAGATTAAAATGTCTGAGCTGGCGATTTTATCTTGACTTTTGCGGCGCAGTCACGAAGCGAACAGACAGCCACTGCAGATGTTAATAGGTGCGTGTAGTGTTTACGTCAAAATGATTTTCAAGGTGTTGGTCTCCATTGCGTTGGTACTCGTCTCGATTGAGGCTAGGGTAAGTGAAGTTGTGCCGTTGGCATTCTCATGGTTAGAGTAGGAATATTTGAAAAAAAAAAAAAAAAAAAAAAAAAAAAAAAGATGATTAAAACTTCAGTCGTTCGGTTCTGAGGCCCGAGGAGGGTTTTTTAAGTAAGATATTTGGAGTTTTCGTTATTGGAATAGGCGGTGAAATTCTTAATTGCCTATCGGACGTAAACAATGACTCTTTGAGTCCTCGGATCATCGGCGCCTAATACCACATTTCAATCGCTTCGATCGTGAATCTAAGGACTATGAAAAGCTGTCCAGAAAAACGGTCCATAATCGCATACCGAAAAATCGTGTTTGGGGGAAAAATGTATTTGAAGTTCTCGTTATTACCTCGGATGATCGGACTTATACGTGGGGAAAAATTAAATTGCTGGTTTAACAATTTTGTAGTTAAAAAAGTGTCCGGCATGAATCAATGTAGATTTTTCGATGAATGATGATAATCTAACCACCTCCGTGGTTAAAATAGCTTCCCACTATTGTAAGATGTAAATTTGAAACATATCGGACATACTTTTTAACTAAAAAATTGTTAATTTAGCAATCCATTTTTTTCCGTGCATCGGAACTTGAAATTCAAGCTCCCTTGTGAATTAACGTCAGTAGCCAGCAACAAACAAGCAACACAACTTCAGAAGCATTTATCTCAAACACGGTTTTTCACCGTGGACCATTTTGCCGGAATGTTCCTCAACTTAAAGAATGGAAGAAGCTTAGATTATTCGGCGGGAAAATTTTATCCTTCCTGTAGAGTTCTGTAGAGTAAAAATCGTAAAATTTTACCGCCATCAACTCTCTAGTGGCGTGGCGTGCTTTGAGATACATCGATTGATCTACCATTTAAATCTGTGGAAAAGGATCGATGAACAGGGTGTTCGCAACCACCACCTTAATAATCGATTATTTATACTAGCTACAAATGAGGATACATCGATACTCGATTTATCCCTCCTCAACTCTCCAAAAGCGTGGTGTGCTTTGCGATATATCGATTGATCTGCCATTTAAATCTATGGAAAAGGATCGATGAACAGATTTTTCGCGTGACCAACACCTTAATAATCGATTTTTCATAATAGCTTCAAATAGGGATCTTTCGATAATAATCGATAATTTACGCCACGCCACTGCAACTATCATTCTCCAAAGAGACACTCTCCTTGGCAATTTTGATATTTTTGACGTTAATCCACGTTAACAACTTGGTATTAGTTCTTATGACCTCAGTTTGTAAAGGCAGTCTTACTGTGTCTAGTTGTGAGATGCCGTCCCTCATTCAATGTATACCGCAGTGGCGTGGCGTGCTTTCCGATATATCGATTGTAATGCCATTAAAACCTATGGAAAAGAATCGATAAACAGGGTGTTCGCAGCGAACACCTTAATAGTCGATTCTTTACCATAGGTTTAAATGGCATAACAATCGATATATCGCAATTCACGCCACGCCACTGGTATACCGATCTAAACGCCGTTGCCAAACAGAACTTAAGCTGCGGTTACTTAAGCTAACTTAAGCTTAAGTTATGATAACATGAAATATATCAATGGTCAAAGTGCAAAACCACGTATCTCTCCTAGACTTTTGCTGCAGACTTCTTGTCGAACTTTATTCTTTCTTCGGGAAGGTGGTGGATACAATTTCTTGAAAACTACTGTGATTTTGCCTCACTAATAGCAGAATATTCTGTACAACATCAATCTATAAAGTTGACTGTTTCTTTACGAAAAAATAAAAGAGGAATGGAAATCTTTGAATACCGGAACAGAGATTCAAGGTTCCGCTCTTTAGCCGTCGATATACAGTATACTCCTAGCTTGCATAGTCATAGCTGTATTGGTAACCAGTAATGTGGAGTACTGTGCGATAAATCGATTTATCTGCCATTTGAACCTATGGAAAAGGATCGATACATAGGGTGTTCGCAACGAACACCTTAATAATCGATTCTTTACTACAGCTTCAAAGAATGAAATAACGATACTCGATCATTCTCGCCGATAATGACGACAATTAGATAGAACCAATCCAAAATCAGGGAAGAAAGCGCGGATGAGGATATGCTCATTTTTTCACGATTGCAAAGTTCTGAAGCTCAGAGTAATTTTGTGATTTTGATTGTTTCACAGCCACCTCCCACCAATGGGAAAAGCTTGGAGCAGCTGATCCGGGAATTCAAGGACATGGAGAAAATAAGGCACGACGCATTGCAGGTGGTATTGAACAAGCCGGAGTACAAGGAGGACGAGAACATGGTTAAATACATGGCAACTCTGACCGAACTGGACAGAGTTCTGGTGGACACGCGTAAAGCCATCAAGGACGTCCCGTCGATTCTCAACCCCGCTGAAATTTCAACGGATATGGTTGATGTAAGAATACATTTTCAAGTTTTTTGAAATACACACACACCTCAATGGCTACACGGAAAAAAAACAAGCAGTAAGCTCCAACGCATTCGCGTCGGAAAGCGGCTCTGGCGACGGTAGTTAGCTAGCGACTGGTCGTAAGCGGCGACATAGAGTCGATGTCATTTCAATAATCGCCCCGGTGGCCACGATAGTTGTTAAACGTTTACGGTTTCCTTGGTAACCTTTGTTTGCTATCAGCTGATATCGAGTAATATGCCTAGGAAGCTCCAACCACTCCATTCTTCCAAAAAACCGCGAAAACTTTAAAATTCAAAATTTCAAATTTTGAACGTAAAGTACATTTTTTCCATCACGAGATTAAAGCACAGACAAGTTTTGAATTATTGACTGTATCACCATGATTCCAAAAATACACTACCCAACATAGCATTGGCTAACAATAAAACAATATGCAATAAAATAAAGTCATGACAAGGCACATAGTCGAAAATGGCGCCGATTCCCATCAACCAACGCGCGGTCTCTCCAATGTAACATGGTCCATTGATACTCCCCAGCTGGGACCGTCCGGAATAGCAGCTCTAGTGCAAGCACCAGAGCCGCTAATAAAACCAACTTTGCTTTAGTGGTGGAGTATAGGAAAAAATGTCTGGTAGAAATAGACGTGCGAAATTGCAGAAAGAATGTGCTGGAGACAGTCGCCGGCTTTGCCCCAGTGCAGATTGGAAGGGTAAAGCAAAAGCATCTTCCGCCGAATGTCCTGAGGGTCAAATAGGATCGGTGAGAACAAAAATCCACCAACTCAGTAACTTGAAAATGCTCAATTCTCATTGAAGACAGTCAATTTGTACATAGCGCATCTGTCATAACTTGGACTTTTAAGTGTCCTTAAGTACTTGTCTTCCTGCACTAAAAATATTTGTCTCACCATTAATCACCACAATCAATAACTTCTTCACCTACTGTGCAGTTTTGTATGTGTCTTGATTATTTTCATTTTTTCGAGGTGGTGTGTTTTCATTCTCGCTGATTCAATTCTGGTGTTCAGCGCATTTTTCTCGGTGCATGTACAGTTGAAAAATTCGTAATGTAGATTCTACCACCGTAAAAAGTCTCCGTTCTCATTTTACGGTCATTAAAGAGGACGAACCGTTTCCGTTTTTGCGTGTAAATTTTCTAAAAACATTCAGAAATATTCATAGAAAATTCAAGTAGATATTTCAGCAAGTTTATATGATTTTTTTTTTTAAATGGTGCCAATTATTCATATGTTGCTGACACATAGTAATGGTCGGCGAGTTGCAATATATTTCAGTTGAAGGAAAATGTAAAAATTCAGAAGTAAAGGAACCAGGAAAAAGCATTGGGTTTATGTTTGGAACTCCAACATACGTTCACGGAAAAAACAAGACTAGTGTTGAGCACTACTGGCCGTTTAGTGGGGAGTAGTTGAGGGCTGGCGTCTAAGCGCTGTACAGCTCAACACCGGAAGGCAGTACAGGTGGGCACTGAACATGAGTAGTGCTAATCAGATGCCGCGAGACGTAGTTGCGCTTAACAGGTGTAAATTCACCCATGTGACGTCGGAGTCACCATAGCCTGGTGGTAACGCGCTGGTCTTCCACCGGCGCAACCCGAGTTCAACCCCAGGCGGAGGCATTTCATATTTTACGCTCGCTCCAAAGTCACTTTAGGGCTTGACACTACTTCTTCCTTAGTGACCCAGCCTCGAGCTGTTTAGTACCCAGCACTCCTCTGACTTGGTGGCTCCATTTGACCTAACCCTCGTTAGTGCCCAGCACTAACATGTAGGTCCCAACCCTAAGCTCGTTTTTTCCGTGTTGTTTCTTTTTGGATGAGAGGTACCATTCAGCACACTGTGTAGCATTCATGTAGCAAAATCAGTGACCTCAGTTCGCAATGCTTCGTTTATTAGATGACGACATCGTCATCGATTCGTTACTTCGATTATTGCAATGATTCACGACCTATGATTCGGATAGGCAACTATACTAACTGTCTGATAAAGCGTAGAGTATCACCAGGATTGGAGGTGTTTCGAGTCGAGGTCGTGTTTTTGGAGATTTTTGCTGATAAACTTTACCCTGTCGATGCGAATCATAGCAATTTGATAAGTTACCGCGCATGCATCTTTCAAATTGCCGAATATTACTGCCTGCGACACATATTCAATTAGTACAAATCGAAAAAAACTCGCACTTCTAAGTTTATTTACTTCACGGAAAAAACGGGTTTAGGGTTGGGACCTACACGTTAGTGCTGGACACTAACGAGGGTTAGGTCAAATGGAGCCACCAAGTCAGAGTAGTGCTGGGCACTAAACAGTTCGAGGCTGGGTCACTAAGGAAATAGTAGTGTCCAACCCTACAGTGATTTTGGCGAGCGTAAAATATGAGAAGCCTGAGAGTGGGATCGAACCCGGGTCGCGCTAATCGTAGACCAGCGCGTTACCACCAGGCTATAGCAAATTGCAAAGAATGAAGGCGAATTTACACCTGTTAAGCGCAACTGCGTCTCGCGGCATCTGATTGGCACTACTGGTGTTCAGTGCCGACCTCTACTGCCTTCCTGTGTTGAGCTGTACAGCGCTTAGACGCCAGCCCTCAACTGCTCCCCACTAAACGGCCAGTAGTGCTCAGCACTAATCTTGTTTTTTCCGTGTTGTTAAATGATTTTTGCTGGCTTTTCAAGTCACTATTTCTATAATGAAGAGCATAAATAATAAAAAATGATGAATAATAGACAATGAAAATATGTTGTTACAACGAAGCAAAGGAAACAATTATTTACGTAACGTAAACCTAGGTGCAGTTTCATTTTGTTAACATTTAGCCTCTGGCGCAAATCTCTGGCCCTCTGCACATTTACAATCCTTCAAAGGTAGGTCAAATTGACCCATCCACGATAAAACTCGAAAAACGCGGAAACTGAAACTATGAGTTTAAAAACTTATGCTCTATCGATTTTCAACCTTCATTCATTTTCAAATGACAGTTGAAAATCAATACCCTGACAGAAGCCTGACGACCGAATGGTCCTTAAACTTTGCAGTGTGTCCTATTTTCTCACGAAAAACTAGACAAGTCATCACCATTCCCTGAAAAGAGAAAGTACAGTCATTTATTTCTATTCCGAAGCATAAGAAAACGAAAGCTTACAATAACGTTCGCTCTTTACAACCAACTAACCGTAGGAGATTTTATTGACATAAATCAATGAATGAAAATGCAAAATAAAACCTTACATTTTCCTACATTTTCTCCAGACGTTTTGCTGAAAAAACCATTATAATTTATAAGGAAATATAAAATCGATAACTAGAATTATGGCTTTTTTTTTTAAAAAAAAAAAAATCACATTTTACACGTTTCTTCTTCATGTCTTCTTTCTTTATTTTCTTTTTTTTCAACCGTAATTCTCCTTATCGGTCTTGGATTTATAAACACATTATTTTTTTTTTTTTTCAGAAAACCATCCGGAGAAAATACAGTAAAATGTAAGGTTTTGTTTTGAATTTTCAGTCATTGATTCATGTCAATTAAGTTGAATTTTTAGTGATGATAATGTTACATGTTATCTGACGTTGTAATTTTTGTTCCAGTCCAAGGGGATCCTCGATACCCTGAGACGGCTGAGGTCCGAATCTGAGATTTTGAAGGTCAGACTCACTGAGGAGGGGAAAGCTGTCTCGGTGGACGTTCTTGGAGATAACGAAGTTCAGATGCTCATGGCCTCTTTCGGGGTTAGCGGAAAGAAACTCGTGGAGATCGGCTTGAAAATGCTCATGGAGATTTTCACCGCACAGAGCTACATGAGAGGCATGAGCTACAACAACAGCCCCTCAGTAAGCACGAGCTACAAAAATGGCCTGTCAGTTCCTGTTGCCAACAACGTCTACTGAAAGATAACAGTGTTCTAACACGTGCTTCCCTCATGTCAACTGGTCTTCAATCATTTGCGAGAGGTTTTTACTTCACAAGTTCGTTTCTGGATTGAATAAAATAAAGTTCTTGTACCTTCTGAATTGACGCGTGTTCTACGAAAATTCCATTATTTAGGCTCATGAAGATATTCAGCGCACGGAACTATACGAGAAACAAGAGTTACAAATGGGCGTATTTATACTAGAATAATACAAAATACAGGTAAATACAGGTTTCAGCCCTAGACTAACGAGCACGCCCCTTCTTTCCGACCCATCTCTGATTCCGTTTAGCAGAAATGCGGCCAATTTTCATGAGCATTGTTGAATTTTTGTTTTATAGCAAGATGTTTATGGAAAGTGTTAACAATTTTCAAAGGGGTCGTCCATTTTTCCAGTCTTGCTCTCAAAAATACGGATAGGGAGTCGGCGTTCGCGTGGCGGAGGAGGAAGAAAGTTTAACATTACATGTCGTCATGCAGGAACTCCCGCAAAACGCTGATATTTGAAACTTTTAAACACTAGTGTGCCTCAATATGTCAATACATACCCCTGTAAAATACCCTGAAGAGTCTTTCAACCATTATCATAAGTTCAGCTTTAGTGCCTACGTTCATCAATTTTGTAGGCACTCTTTGTAAAGAGTGCTAGAGAGTTAAGGTTATAAACTAGCACTCTCATAATCAAGACTTTAATTTTTCAAGTCGGGACTGGACTGAGCTAAAGATTAAGGCTCCCCCGGACAGGGTGGCAAAATTTCATGAAAAATAAAATCTTGCGATTTCACGTGCAAAATTTCATGAAATTTCAGAAATTTATGAAAGACATTGAAAAATACCGGTTCCTTTTCATGTTTCGCAAAATGTGAAAATTGTGACTTTCTTCTCTTTTTGTGTTTCTAAGTGGGGGTTGCATACTCTAGCCTCGGAAAAATATGAAATATTTCACAGCCTCATGAAATTTCATGGCATTTTTCACTAAAATTTCCAATGTTTCATTTTTTTCTTACGTTTCATGCCACCCTGCCTCCGGACTTTGAAATCCGTCAATTTCCAAATCGGTTTCCGTGTTGTGAAATTTGACTGCAGCAGTTCACTGGCGAGGTGAAAAATGCTGGCAAAAACCTTCACTGGTAGCCGCAAATACTTCCTGTAACTTGCTTGTGCATGAAAATTGAGTTTTGTTGCACGATCAGTTAGTCTGAAATTAATTAGTCAAAGCATGCATGTTGACGCCGTCGGATGGTCCACAGCTGCGCTGATGAACTGCCAGACTTCTCTACAAGCTTGAATGTTCGGATTTCGCGCTGAATCTTCTTTTTAGAAAAAAAAAAAAAAATAAATCAGAAACACGTCGTTCAAGAATACAAATAAAGTAAAACTCTCCTGAACTATCTCGCTCCTCGCAATAAGTCAAGGGTGTTGGATTAGGACCAAATAACACTGGCCAAAAAAAAAAAAAGATGTAAAATTGAAGTGTTGATTAACCTTTCCTCATAAGATGCGCAGCGCAAGGTGATTCTTAAAAACAAAATGTGTACATGTATTTTTCCGTAAAACTATATATAAATCCTGTATACATATTCTAATACATACCTACAGAAGTGACCAATTAAGAACCGGTAGTTGGATTGACAACCCGAAAATCTAAGATAAGCTGGTCACCGTTTGGACTACATTTTGCAATCAGGAACTACAATTTCTGCCTCATTTTAGAAACGACGTATATACCATTAGCTTTTCTACGAACATACGTGTTCATACGGATGAGCCAGGAATGGAAGTTCCTAATTTCAAAATTTTGTACATTTGAAACCATGTGTCCTGTCCCCTACTCGGATGAAGACACAGCGCATCCGTCAATAGTCTCAAACACAAGTTTCGGTGAGCATAAATCTCAAAATTCAAACCATCATAACTGTTTGAATTTTCAATCAAATAAGGTGTTCTTCGGGCAAGACCAAGAAGAAACTTTTACCTAGCTTAATTTTGAAGTTAGAGAATTTGTCTCACTACTTTATGAACAGAATTTGCATGAATGGAGAAATCGCTATCCATTCATTAATGATCAGTAAAATATTTTTTTCAGCAAATTAAACCTTTAAAATACGATACTGTATTAGTGCTTGTAATTTCCGAAAAATACTGGATCGGCAAGACGAAGAATTACGATGAAATTAAAAGAAAAGGTTCAGAATGTTAAGGAAGTGGTAAAAAGCCATGACTGTGAATGAGAATATGTAAATGATATCAATCCATAAGTATTTTTTCGAAACAAAAAAGGGTAAGGGATGCCATTAAACTTTTTACACCGCACGATAGTCCAGTCAAAGTAACTCTAAAGAAAGAGTGCAAGTGTACTCTACAATGCATAAAAAAAGGGGGGGCTGTTAAAAAAAAGGTACCCATATTACATTTTTTAAGCCTGATACTATACTTGACTAGGAAAACAAACACTCGATCTAAAATAATCAAGTTGAATTTTTAGTTTTTTTGGAGGTCAAATTGGACATTTTACGTAGAATTGCCCATATTGACGGTGAAACTACCAAACCACGTATATCGGTTTGCGACGTCGCAGACTTCCTGTCATTCTTTATTTTTTAAATTAAAAACTACTTAACGTCCAGTCTTGAAAATTTCTGTGATTTTTCCTCTTCGTGCGGAGAAAATTCTGTGAAAATTCCAAGGAATGATATTGATTTGTTCTACCTCAAAAAAATAAAATGCGAGCGTAGATTTTTAAACACCGCAAACGAGATACGTGGTTTGGTAGTTTCACCGTCGATATGCGTTTCACGCCGACAACTGTGTTTGGCGCAATGCGTGCAGTGTTAAGTATTCCAACAGTCCTGAAAGCGCTGATACGCTAAAGCGCCGACCAGCGACCGTACTGCGTTTGGCGCAATGCGTGAAGTATTCCTGCACTCTTGTAGGCGCTCATGTGCGGTCCACGCCGACGAGCTACCGCACTGTGTTTGCCACAATGCGTGAAGTATTCCTGCAGTCTTGTAGGCGCTCATATGCGTTTTGCGCCGAGCAGCGCTATGTTTGACGAGATTGCATACGACGATACAGGAATAGATTTGAAAGAAAGTGTAGGAACAGAGGAGAGATAATAAGTTCGAAGAATGGCTGGGTAAAATGGATGAAGCGGCTCATCCAGAGTGCAGGCAAAAATATTCGGATCAATAGTCTTTTGACAATTAAATGGAAACAAGACGCGGAAGCTAATGCCCGTAAATTTTCAACATGGAGGGAAAATTTTGACGTAAAGAGACAGCTTTTACTTTGCCAGTAAAAAATAGAACTGAAAAGTTTGAACAGGAAGTAAGGGCAGATTTGCGCAAACAAGTGAATAGGTTCTCGCCTAAGAATGTAAAACTAAACACTTTAAGTAAGAAGATGAAACAGAAATGGAAAAAGCAGCAGGCTGATTATTGAAATGGATAAACAAAGCGATAGATAAAGACGGAGAGAAAACAGAGCGATCCTATTGGTAAAAGTGGGTGGTTGCAATCGATAAAGGAGGTAAGTTGTAGACTATCCAACGGCAACCCACGAGCGACTTTACTAGTCTACAACAACCACTCGTTCCGACCAATGGGATCGTTCCATATTCGCTCGTTTCGTCTATAGCTTTGTCTATCAAATTCAAAATTCAGCCGCAGCCGTTTTAAATTCACATGTGAGTGCGCTCGTCGGGATTTACGAAACTATGTATAAATTGGACCTGACTATAAATTTGAGCAGAAAGGAACCGAGCCACATCAGCTGTTGCCAAATTAAACTGGGTAATTTAATTTTTATCGAGAGAGCTTGTCTGCGGAATTCTTTGGAAATTTAATGGAATTTGCTTCGTATTAAGCAGAAAATTCACTAAAATTTGTACATAGATCTGCACAACCATTTTCATGTAAGAGATTCAATGCCCAATTAAAGTTTGACAATACCTGATTTGGCTTGGTTCCTTTCTGCCTAACGTGGTCCAATTAGGCTTATTGCTAGTGTAACATAACTAAACAATAATTTTCAATTTGCTTCAGGTGAATGATAATGTGAAACTGACAAGCATTCTGAAAAAGAAAATGAAAATTGGACGGTTTGAGGGAAACACATATTTCAAAATTTGATTGATTGCTGAACATTAGACATTTTGAGAACTGCGTATCAACTTAATTTTTAAACATCAGACAAAATGGCAGTTTGGAACAAATTTTAATTCTAAAGTTTCATTCAAAGCATTTTAATCGTGTAAGATAGATCTTTAACTTCGCAACATGCAGTTCAAAAATTTCTGAAGGCCTACGTCTCGATGTAATTTTTGCTTCTTCGTTTTTATCCATGAAAGGTGATTAATTTGGCTTTCACCTCAATTAAGGCTTTAATTCTGTTCCCAGTAATATTTTTAGTGCCGGATCAATGGAAAATTCTGCTGTTTTGGCGTAGTATTATGGCCAGATGTTGATCCTCTCGAGAAAGTAAGTGCGTCGTTTTAATGACAAGACTAAAAATTGAATTCAAAATCACGTCAACAGCAAAATTTCTTCGAAAGGTCGATGGAAAATTCTGCTGAAAAGTGACTGACCTACCTCTTTTCTTTTTTCATCAACGGTGATGAATAAAAGAAACAGAGTTGCAAAACTTGGCAACATCTTATTTTTTATAATGGGCCTGTTGCATACTTTTGCAAGAGCAAAAGGAAGAGTTGGTTCTTACAGAAAATGGCTCAAAAATCACGGTGAGCACATTAACAAAGCCTGAAATGCACTCCTAACTTCACAAACTGCGTAAGAAATTCACGTTTTTTTTATCTTCCCGCTTCAAAAATGATACTACGGCACGGGTGAACATTTTGTTAGAGGAGTCGTTCCATTCAACCCTTGCGTACTAGTATTTTACAATACTCAACATGACCGACGCTATCAAGACGGATTTATATCAACGCGAGGAAAACGTGCATGAAAACACACCAGGTTGTTAGCAAACGGCTAGAATTTCGTCGCGCCGCGGCACATGAGTTTTGGCCAGTTTTGGTGGATTCGCTTTGGCCATGATGAATATTGTGCAGTATCCCACTGTACCGAGGTTGGAAGGAACGACTTCTTTAACAAAATGTTTACCTGTGCCGTGCTGTAGTATCGTTTTTGAAGCGGGAAGCACAAGAAAACGTGAATTTCTCACGCAGATTGTGAAGTTAAGAGTGCGTGGCTTTGTTAATGCGCTCATCGTGATTTTTGAGTCATTTTCTGTAAAGACAACTCTCACTTTTGCTCTGGCAAACTTTTGCAACAGGAAGCCCCTTTATGAAGGATTCAGCACTCTAAAAACAATTTCGAGACAATTTCTTTTCAGAACAGTTGCTCGTGATTAATATACTAAAAAAGACGTTTAAAAATTACTCACATTTTCTGGCAAAAACGATGCTCCAAAAATTAAAACATGAGAAGGTCACCAGCAGGTGTAAGAGGAGGTTCCGTATTTTAAGCGTCGTTAAGCTATACGCTACGCTACGGCTACGCTCCCGTGATTTCGGGACCTAATTTAGGTCTCATAGCTCATCTAAGGGACGTTTGGAGCTGCGTCTTTCCTACCAAGAAAAAAACAATGACAACATTTACCGTTCTGTATCTTTTAAAACATTCGACTTCTGGAATAATTCTAGGATTAGTGTGTTCATTTATCTTCAATTCACTGTTTCCGACCGAAGATTTACTTGCAATGGATCAAAGAGCAGGAATTATCAAAGATATTTTCCTTCAATTATGATTTTGATACACAGTTGAAAACTAAAATTTGCCTAATTATTATGTTCAACTTAATTTACATAATCACATGTTTTAATATTTTATATTTCTTTTCCATTAAATAACTCAACAATGAAAATCTACATTCATATGAAGATTCTACATTTTTATATTTTCTTTAATTAACAATTATTAGTTTCATTTGATCATCACTTTTTATTTAGTTAAGCTATGTTTTGTACTTAGCTTCTAAATATCGTGACGCTCACTTCCAAATCGCCTTCAATTAGTCGGTTATGCGCGATGCACTACACTCGGATCGGAATAGTTACATATCCTGCCCCTTTTTCGTCGAACTTTTGGTGATGTTTGTCCCTGTGGAAGCAGCTGCTTCATTTCTTGTGGCCCCGCTCCCGTTCGATACCTTGGACCTCAATATTCGGAGAGGTAAAAAACATTCCATGACGTGAACTTAACTTAAATGATCGCATAAAAAGGGACCCATCCGTATAAGTTTTTCATTTAAAACAAAAATTCATCCGCTTTGAAAAAAATCCGAGTGATTACCTCTAGACAACGGATCCCGTAGACAACTTTTGGTTGTGGCCAGCGGGCCGATTATGGAAATAGATAGACAAAACATTAGACATAGAGGACAAAAGATGTATGGAGGGATCCTTTGGGTGGAGGCGGGTGGTTGCAATGGACAAAGGTGAATAATAGACTAACGACAACCCACGAGAAACCTTGTGGTTAGTCTATCATTTTTTCCTTCAGTCTATAGGAACCCAGTGTCTTCTATGTCTATTTATTTCATAATAAACCCGCAGGCATATCCCTCCGCGTAACTTATGAGCATGACTTGCACGGCAATTGGATAGTCCTTCAACGAGACAGCAATACATGGAATAATATCAGGCGCTTAACAGATTTGCTCCAGAGAAATTGCCGATGATTGACCGCGTGTAAATTGATCTACTTGGGGCTGTACGAGTTGATTGATTTGATGGGAGACCTTGGTTGGATCAATCATTAAATCACCTTTTTTTATAAAAAAAAAAAAAAAAAAAAAAAAAAAAAAAAAAAAAAAAAAGGAGAGGAGGGAACTGGTTTTTTTTTAACGAATGGGATCCAATATGCCAAAAAGTGTTAACATTTACGTCTGACTTGATTTTCTTCTTTTTGAGATTTCTCCTCGATATGGTGAGACACAGACCATCATTTCACATTTATGGAACGTGTTGTCGACTCCAATTGAATAGAAACTAAAAAATCGGCCCTATAATTACTATGAAAATGATGCAGGGTTGCCACAAAATTTGGAAAATTAAATTCCCTAATATTTCCCTGATTTCCGCGACACATTTTGGTGAAATCCCTTGACAATTGAAAAAATGCCAGGTTGTTATAAAAGCATACAGTAGAAGCTCGCTAAGTTGAACTACGGTTCAGACGAAATGCCGATTAAGTAGAAGTTTTTTTCGGTCCCTAGACACGTCCATAAGTTAAGTGGAAAATTGGTTAAGACGAATTGCCGCTTTGGTCGAATTTTTCGTCGGTCTCTACACAGTTCAACTTCGCGAGCTTTCACGGTAGTTAGAAATATTTTTCAGGCAAAATTTGTTGTTCGAAACGTCAGACTCACTCGACAAGAATGATGATGCTGATTTACCAATTTTGTAGTTAAACCACCTCCGTGGTAAAATTAGGTTTCCTTCATTGTCAAATGTACATTTGAAACATGTCAGACATGTTTTTTTGACAATTTAATTGTTAAGTCAGCAATCCATTTTTTCCGTAAAAGCAAATAAATGTGACTTGACGATTTCTCTCAGAAATTATCGCCATTTTCCCCAACATCTCTATGTTTTCCCGGATTTTTCAAAATCCCCCGACATTTCGCGGTGTTCCCTGACTGTGGCGACCCTGACGATGGTACCATACATCCTGGAAGTATCAGATAAATCTAGGAAATCGAGCTCATTTGGCAACCATGGTGCCAGGCAACTCTCCCTTCACTTCAAAGCACGAAAGCAGCAAACCATTAACGCAGGAGCAGCGTCAGAAAAAAGCTCAAAATGAGTTTTCCTCTCTTCTGGCTCCACAAATAGTTGCGAGAAAATTCAGTTTCTGCGTGTTAAATTTTACTTCGACGAAAAACAGCGCGGAAAAAATCATGCAATTTCATGAGTCGGGAGGGGAACCGTCGTGCGATCCGAGAGCGGAGAGAGGGGAAAACAAAAAGCCTCAACGCAAACCTGCAAAAAAAGGCTGAGAGAAAATTTTCCGCCATGATATTGCGTGTTTAAAAAGCATTTCAAGCCCGGATTTTCGCCAGTAATAGGATTACAGTGATGGGCCTACTTACTAAAAGTCTTCTGGCTGTGCTAGTCTTATACTCTCTGCGCGTAAGTTTAACAGATTTATTTGTTTTTACCCTTCTTTTACGCCATAAGAGAACAAACAGAATTGAAATACCAAAACAAACCGTCTTTTCCTGTATACATAATGTTGGAATTAGCAATCGGCCGCGTGGCTGAAAATGAAAACTTTGACGTGGCAATAGCAGACAACAACTCTTAAAATCATGAATTCAACCAAATTTGAAAGTTACTTATATTTTTGAACTTGTGTGGAGCGATAATACACATCATAGTGATATCTTAAGACGATACTTTCAGAGAGGCTAGAAAACAAAATAAGAATCCCGAGACCTTTCGATGGAAAGTATGGAGCTTTCGAAATAGACAAAAAAGTGCATATAGACAAAAAAGTGCATAATTAAACGCAGATGCAAGTAGCTGCTGTGATTGAGCGAGACTCGTGTATATTTGGGCAACTTGAGTAAATTCATTCAATGGTTCATTATATGAAATTATGCCCATGTTGGCAGATTTTACAAATGTACGGCCGATAAGTGACACTTGTCATCAAATGATCGTGATAAGACGGTCAAGGGTTGTGTGGTGACGAAATATTTTTGAATCCGGCTGCACTGTATGTCCTTCATCAAATATAAGAGCAAAAATTTCCCTTGGTAGAACACTGCGATTGGCGTTATCCATCGTGATTGTTCAAACCACAGATTCCTCCACCTACCTCTATTTCTAACCGTTCACCATTAATGCACTCAACATCGAAAATTCGTGTTTTCTTTGTCGGATCCGACCCGTCAGCCTATTTATGATTCTTGATAATCTATGATTCTTGTAATCTGATTTCGTCCCAGAGCTTATTCTTGAAGAAAGAAGTTAACCAAGTAATTCCTTGTAACTATCAGTGATTATTTCAAAGATTCTGACGAAAAACATTACACAATTTTAGGTTAGAGTATTGCTTGCTCTCCTGGTATTCACATAAATTCTACGAGGAAAATATGTAATCTGAAAGTGAGTAGGCTGATTTTTGTTACAAACGTCAATTTATAAGGGAATTGTTGGATTTGATGAACACTTATTCGAATGGCCATCTGCACGGATCATATTGAAGCGCTTCGGTCAGCAGGCCTTGAATCGTCAATTTTCGAATCTGCATATTGCAAAAAGTCCCGCAGTCCGTAAACTCCGCGTTCCCAACGGCTCATTTATAAACGGTGATACGCATCCTTTCGTCAGCAAAGCACCGCATTTTAAAAGAACGTCACGGAACATCATCACATCCCGGCCAAAGTATCACGAACGCCATGCGACTTTAAAAATTTCCGCCGCAATTTTATTTTTTTACAGAAAAATATTTCAACGAAGCTGTCCGAAAATTTCACTAAATTTTGTTTGTGCTACCGATCAAATTCGGTGAAACTTTCCAACAGATTCCACCAAAAGTTTCTTCTTCTTCTTCTAACTTTTGACTAGGGCCGTGACCCTGTTTATCTAGCCACTGAATGAGTAACATAATTATGATGGTAATGAGACAGGTCACTTAATGGGATGAAAGGCAGCTCTGTGCCCATCTCTTGGGCGGTTGTCCGGGTTGCCTTTGGCTATGAGTTCGTCCTACCATCCAAATCTTGGCAAGCCTTTCCCCGTCCATCCTCTCAACATGTTCAGACCACATTTTCCGGAGCATCTTGGTCCATTTGGCAATATCTTGAATTTGGCACTCTTCGCGAATTGACTCGCGCGGAAATTTTAAAACGTCGTATGGTGCTTGTAATACTTAGGCCGGAAGTGACAACATATGATACGCGAGAGTGACCCAGTTTTTAAATTATTTGAAGAAAAAGCTGTTACGTGCGGAATTACGACATGGTCTCTAGTCTAACAGACTTAGATCGCACTCCAAAACTTCCAACGTGCCGATGTCAATCAGAACGAATTTAGCATAGAGAGGAGTTTAAAAAGAAAATAAAAAAGAGGAGGATGAGGAAAGGGAATAGAGGAATTGATAAGGGAGGAAGCCACAACATCCATTGCCAAATTCAATAAACCGATTTAATGTCTCGCATGAAAACAGTTGTGCGGAATTCTGTGCGAATTCCAGTAAATTTTCTGCATGTTACTGAGCAAATTCCCTGAAATTTTCAAAGGAATCCGCACCAACGTTCTCTTGTGATAAATTAAATTGCTCTGTTAAATTTGGCAATGGCTGATATGGCTTGGTTCCTTTTGTGCTTTTATACCGACCTATTAAAATCCTTAATTCTTTGGTGTATTCATGCTGGTGACGCACACTGGACCGAGTCAATAGGAGATATCGGACAAATCTGGACACTTCTTAAGGCTTTATTTTCGAAAATATGAAATAAAAAAGTTTGAGAGTGGCTCCGTTAGTTTTTTGGTAAAATTTTCTCTCAGAGACTCTCTTTTAAACTGAATTTGGGACAAAAATAACATGAAAATTCGGAATTTTAGCCAAAAATTTAATGGCCGACCTCTTCGACTAGCTCGTTTTACTGTGCAACGGTCGACACCCTGCACTGGAAACGAAAACACATTGGATCTAGAGTCCAGACTCTTGCAAGCATAGACAAGAAAAAACACCCTTGATTCAATCGGATTCGTGCTTGGATCAAAACGAAATCCGCTTAGATTAAAAGGCGTGGTTCTTGATTTAAGCTAGATTCTGATTGAATCAAGAGTACTTTTTCTTGTCGATGTTTTTAAGAGTCTGGACTCTAGATCCAATGTGTTTTTTTTTTTTTTTT